AGTTCAGCTCGAAACGTTTGATTTTCTACAGAAAGTAAAACAGAACAAACTCCAACCGGGCTCAACGTTTCTCCTCTAGGCCGCGGAACGTAGCACTCTGATTCCCAGCAAACATTACTTTCGTCCCAAGGCGATTTTTAAAAGACATGCTCATTATGGAAACGGCAGCACCAGTATCAACTAGTGCAACAGTACTCACATTGTCTACAAAAAAACTCACGTTGTTCTCAACCATTACTACACAAGGGGGTCTTGCGTAAGATGATTTTGCGGCCTCGGCCCCATTGGTCGCACCAGTTAGTTTTCCAGTGGTGGTGGCGTCCCCGAGCGGCGACGCGGGGACGGGGATCGCTGTTGGCGTGCGGGTGGTGGGGTAACGCTGCGGTCGGAGCAAGGTGAGTCAGCACGTGCTGCATGTTGCCTTTTGAAAGAGCCCTGAAATGGTCGAGACTCGCCAGCAGGTACATAGGGCGTGTACACGTTGAATCGTGGAGCTCGCTGCTGGCGACGGTAGCAGTACCTAGCATGTGTCCAGGTAGCCCGCAGTTGTAGCAAGTACGGGTGTCGCGTCTAGTATTCCCCGGCGAAGTAGACCTTGTCGGTTGATAAAAGCCGGGCGATGGTGGCCGAGGAGTAAATCGCTGTGATGCAGCTTGCCTGCGTTCCTGGTTTTCGAGTGGCCGTTCACTCCTTCATTCGAACCGATCGGTGTAATTCGGGCGAGGTTCAAAGTAGCTCTGTCGCATCCGAGGTACCAGTTATTTACGGGGCCGTTGGTCGAATGCACACTGATGGCAGACACCAGCGGTGTCCACAGCTTGCAGTTGAGCAAGTTCTTCCTCAACACTCGTCTTATAAGAGAGGAGATGTCGTCCTGCGATGGAAGGTTGACACTTGCAATCGTGGGCACATTCTCAAGACGTCCAAATTTCGGTAGGACTCTCCTCCTCTTTAGCGCTTCAAACGCTCGGCAGTGTCTCCTTAGGTCGGAAGGAAGTGTGTAAGTCTTCCTTAGTGATAAGAAAATTGTACAGGTCTTCCGCGATTCCCTTGAGCAGATGACCTACCTTATTTTCGTCACACATGGTCGCACTCACGATTCCGCAAAGCTTCAAGATGGCCTTGATGTAGGTGGTGCATGTTTCGCCAGGTAACTGAGCTCTGCGTGAAAGCGTTTGCTCCGCCTGCTTGACCTTAGCTTTTGAGTCACCAAAACACCTCTTCAGCTCGTCCACAAAAATGTCCCATGTGGTCAATGCACTCTCATGGTTGTCGAACCAAAGAGACGCGGTGCCGACGAGAAAAAACACCACGTTCTCGAGCTTCTTAGCAGTGCTCCAGCGGTTGCTGCGACTCACTCTTTGGTAGTGCTTGAGCCAGTGGTCAACATCGTCATTCGGCTGCCCCGAAAAGGTCCTCGGCTGACGTTCCGGCATGCCGCCGCGAGCTTGTCCTGGCGGGTGAGCGTGTTGCTCATCAGCAACGAGGTTGTTACGGCCTGCTCCCGCGTCCTCCATATTTAGTAGCTGCGGTGGCAAGCCTGCCAAGCGTCTGCTCCGTCGCAAAATCGGTAGAGCTGGGTCGTCAGATCGATGTACCCGGCACCTTCCATCAAACTGTTACGAGTGACTGTGTTTATTTAAAGATGAGGTGAAATGGCGTTGTGAAAGAGCAGCGTACTTCCGAGACAGGCCTAGAACGCTTCCCCCAACCACACAGTCCAAGCGCCACTCTACTACTCTTCTCCTTCTTCCGCGCCCCGTAGGCTCGCGCATCTTCGTTTCAATATATATAAAAACACAAGAAAAACCAAAAAAAAAAGATTCCGGCATGCAGAATTGAACTGTGGACCTTTGAGACGCGAGTGCGAGGCATTAACCACTGAACTACGGAGAAACACGTCCCTCAATGTTGAAATGGCATTTATTTATATTTATATCTATTTATATTTATATTTATATCTATTTATATTTATATCTATTTATACTTATTAGCTATTTATATCTACCACTTACCGCTGGTGACAGGCATGTCGGGAAAGAATTATCGTGTTTTCAGCATTACCAGCAGGATGGCGCAACGAGAATGCATCGTCAAATCATCACGACACGGTGGTGCACGCTCTCATCTCCCAAGCGTACTTTGCCCCGCGGAGAGGAGGGGGTGGATGCTTTATCGCGTGCCCTTATCTCACGGTGGGAAAAATTGTACGTTTTGGCTGGCCTTTGGGTTTCGCCAGAACAATTCTGTTGTAGTTACCAGGCGCACAAAGGTCACTGCAATAATTACACATTCTCCATTTGAGAAAAGAGCGAACTTTTCAGACACAGTGAGGTAACAACTGAGACGTTTATTCGCATTCATCTGTACCTGTGAGTACGTCTCAGGCATTTTTGTGCATAGGAAACATGGGACAAATTTCGATATGCTTGCCATTCTGCATGTGACCTTACCATTTCTTGCCTTATTTTGTTCTTACTCTTTCTGTAGTTACAGAGAGAAGGCTTCTTTTTTATCACTGTAATCCAATAAATCCTCTCCGCCTCTCTAACGTTTCGCTTAATGCTCCTTGTTGCCATATCACCCACATTGCCAGCCGCGTATTTACTGGTGAGCCTCCTAGTTCTTTTTTGCCTTTTTGTGTCTACGCTCTTTTTATACAAACACCTGAACACCTTCCCTGCCCATCTACTCTCCTTAATTTTCCTCAGCCTCTCTTCAAATCTCATTTTGCTCTAAGCTTCCCTTACTTCTTAAAGATTTCGAACGACGTGAGCGCCATCTAGTGAATGAACACTTGGCGTACTAGATGTGGCTACGACAGACAACAACGACAGACAAGCCTACGCCTTAAAGGCGCCTCTAAGAGGCCAGCACCAGCACTCTCAACGGCACCCTGGCCATAACTGGGTAGTGCGAAGAGAGCCGTCCGCAAGTGAATGTGCATAGGACACTATAGAAGCCCCCTCTTTCTTTGGTGTTGAGGCGCAGTGTCCTAAAATCGCGGACCTGGATAGCTCTTTCAGTTAGTCCGACCTTGCTTCAGAAAAGTAGAAGGCTCATCTAAGCGAAATGCGGGCACAATGCAAAAAATAATTTCACTTGTTCTCGGCGCGCTGCAACTCGCATGAGCAAGCGAATATCCCGTGACATTGAGTTGGAGGCAAGCACTCCAAGATAAGTATTGTAATGCTTTATTGCATTCAATTTGAGCATATATATCATGTCAATGCGATGAAGTACATACACCAGCAATCTATCTTGAAACCAGTGGTATACTAAGCTTGGTTTATCAGGCGCGAGTGGCCCCGGCAATTTTCGCCTTCGCAGTTGCATTCTCCATTCACTTCTCACTTAGGGTGCACTCAACTGTTTCATTACGCATCCTCAGATGTTCTGTTGACAGTTGTCTTCCGTTTGTAGATATACTGCAAATGGGGATATGTGAAAGTTCTTTTCATTGTACAACGAAAAGCAAACCGTGGCCTCCGATATAGCTCCATCAATCACGAAGACCACGAGTAAGAAAAAAATGACAGCATATCCACGAACGGACTTTAAATAAAGTTTATTCATTCATTCATGCATTCATATCCACAGAGTGAATGATGATGAGTGGGGTGAAGCATTCATTTGTCTGTCTGTGTGTGTGTCTGTCTGTGTCTGTTCATCCCTCTGTCTATGCGTACATCCGTCCAATTTCGCATCAGTCTGTCTGTGCATTTGTCTGTGCATCCGTCCATTCGTCCGTGCGTCTGTCCGTTTGTCTGATGCCGGTTACGCCTGACGCCGGTTACGTCTGACGCAGGACAAGGTTAGAAGAAGAGGAGGAGCTTCACCCCTGAAAACTTGACGGTGATTCCGACCAACCTTGTGCAATTTACTTGTATGACGCACGTGTTATCATTTGCTAGTTAAAGCCAGAATATTAAGCATTCAAAGTGTACGTGAGCAATGCTGTGTGGTGACATTCAGTTCAGTTTATGGGTGGTCACAGACGGTGCCGGTCATAAGTCTGCTTTTAACTGTTGCACGAGGTGCACCGTAGTCAGAGGTCGGCCGAGATTCATAGTGAAGGCTACTCAAAGCAATAACAGGAGACCTATACATTATTGCAAGACCAACTGTAGAAAACGCGAGTACTCGCTAACCAGACATGTTCGCAGTGGCCTGCATCCAGCACTCCCGTCATTCTGCTTCGTGCGACAACTACGGAAATCAGCAATACTGATGACCTTTGCGTCCGTGGCCATTCACAACGCAACAGTAGCGTTGGGTGAGGCCTTCTTTCGTAGCGTGCGGAGCTGTTTCGTCAGCTAATGTTTTCACCGTCGTTCTGGCGAGTGATCCAGCAAGCATTTCATGGCGGTTCGGTTGCGCGTTTTACTACTGGAGAGAAATTTGTAGCTTTTTTTTTCTACTGTTAAACGCGCGAGCTCACATCCTATTTACTTCAAACATTTTTTCACACTCGCTAGTTGCACAGCAATATTTGCACGGGAGTCAGATTTTGAACTACCCAAAACTGCTCTGACAGGTGGCGTTACATTTACGCATAACTCCCGAGTCCGAAGTCTTTATGTGCCCACATGTCAGAATGCAAAATCAGTTGTGAGCAAGCGGTGTTGTCGTCCCTTCCTCATCTGATGTCCCACCGGAATTTTGTGCTGTTTGTTCCTTCTTGTAAGCATGAACCAACTTAACCAAGCCTCAACCCTAGCATGTTCAAACTACTACTCGTCTGTGTTTACATTGGCTCACCCGTACATCACTTGGGTCACTTCGCCCTCCTGGCGCAAGTGTGTGCCACAGACCAAGCATTAATTTAATTTAACAACTCCATAATCCTTACGAAAAATATTCACTTAAAAAAAACATCCCACAATATTTTATTTTTCCCAGCTCCCGACTTGAACACGCAGTTGAGGCGATTAAGTCGAAAACAGTGGAGATTTGTTGCCCCCATTGCTGTAGACCCTGCCAACGCAAAGCGTATATACCTGTGGTCCCTGGTTGGTGCTGCTCTCGAAAGGGTCGCCCAGCACACGTGCCTTGGCCATGGCGACAGAGGCATCGACGAACTGCTCGTACACCGCTTCATGCACGAACACACGCGTTGGGGCACAGCACACTTGGCCCGTGTTGATGAATACGCATCGGTGCGCCACTGCCGCCGCCAGTTGCACTGCGAGAATGAAGACTTATACTACAACCGCCTCTTATTTCTGCATGATTCTAAGTGCTTTTCAGGCGTTTAACACTTGTTGCGCACTCTTCTTGCTACATTTCTTATCCTCTTATTTTGTTGCCTTTTTACACGTGGCCGTGGCCCTGGCATGCCTCATCGTTACAGAGAGCTGTTAAATAACTAACGGTGAGCTCTCTGCTGGTGCGCGAATCATTACACCGTAAAGGGACAGTCCATTGTGCACAGCTTGTGGCTCCTGCGAAACACGTCAGCATCTCATAGTGCACTGTCCCGCATTTGCTATGCAGTGGGCTTTGCTAACTAAAAAATATAAATTCCTGGGACTTAATAAGAATAATAGTATATTTTTATTTACACCAATACAGTTCTCATGAAGGGAGTGGAAAAAAGAGTGACAGGCCGCTTGACTAAGTCCCCCCCTCCCCTTACATCAAGCAGGGGGAGTGGTTGCGACAGAATATATAGAATGGTCTCAGTAACTCACTTTCGTAACACAAATACCATATTTTCGCACATAATTTGCACCCTCGCATAATTTGTGCACCCCTAATGTTTTGCCAGCTTTCCGGGGGAAAAAATTATTCACTCGCATATTTTGCGCTCTCCGACCCACCCAAACCAGGTCGGCGGCGTGCGCACCTCTCGACCTTTTGATGCATGTTTCGATGCTTCGGCCGCGTGCGTGCCGCGCCGAGCAGACGAGCACAGTCAAACAGGCTGCGTGTGTGAAGTCCCTCCTTTCGAGGACCTCCCCCGAACTAGGGTCCCTAGAATGCCGCACCCGAACCGAAACCTGTTGAAGGGTCCCTAGAACTGCTGGAGCGTTCGCCTCCCCCTATCCTGTTGCCGAGAAGCCCTGCTGCCCTTTTCTACCATGGCTCCTGTGCGAGGCCAGCTGACAGCAGTTATATGCTGCCTGCCAACGCCAGGGCTCCTCGCAGCCGATTCCGGTTCGGCCACCCTGATCCCTAGAAAGGCCCGGTTTCCCAGCGAGGTTTCCCTTGTCCTCCATCGAGAAATGCGGGACCTCCGAACCACCACCGAAGGGGCATTTGTCGAACTCGCTGAATAATCAAGAGCGGCAACGAGCCATCAGAGAGCCCCCTTCCGTGATGCCTCGCACATGGGCATCACACCCAGTGGACATTGTCACGCTCTTCCGCCTCTACACACAGTGGATGCTATCTCACCTCAGAACCACGAAATCTAGCCTTACTTCCTTTGCTCTTTTTTTCGCAAACATGTTATACTGTGATGTGTTTACATCATTATTAATGTTTTCTCCTTGTTATCGTTTGTTTTAGCAGAAATTAGAGGGCTGGACTGAGATTAGCTATTGCTTGTATTAGTGGCATTTTAACTGCATGGGTGACACCCAGCTGCCTTTGCAGACCAGTAAAGGGCAAATTTAGGATATGGGGATGTGAAAATCAAGACTAGCCCACCGCCTTTGCACGGGCTTTGCCGCATCTTTCTCCATTCTCATGTCCCGATATGACTCTCCTCTTTCCCATGACTGTCTTGACTCTCTTGACTTTCCCATGCTGGGAAAGCGAGCGTGATGTCTAGCCCCACTCACCCAGTAGCGGATGTTGACTGTGGCACCGAGCGCAGAGTCTCTCGAGACGTTTCACGTGCGCACGTCGGTAATGAGAGAGAACTTTTCTGGGACGACATGAGGTAAGCACGCATTTCTTCTTCATCTGTCGGCCCCCTTTGTTTTGGGGCACGTTCGGATTTCGCCAAAGGTGCCTTGCACCCGCAGCGAACGCTTACCTTTTGTCGCCCCTCCTTTCGTACGCTAGGCCGAAGAGTGGTGCAGTGCCCTAGTGCATGGTCAAACTGCACCGACCCGTATCTCTTCGAAGCCAACGCGAGCGCCTTTGCCCTCGCTCGAGCAACCGGGCCCTTTGTCCTGGTGTCCCCATGAATCACCTTTGCGCGAGACGTAATCGCGGCACCATGTGTAGTACTTCTCGCCCAGGGCGTGAATAAGCCCATTTGCTTTCCCGCTGTGCCTTTGTAACGGGCTCTGTACTGCGTTTTAGAGTTGCCGCAGACAATGAAGTGTTGCGACCTTGAGCAATGCCGTTTTCTCGCCACGGCGACGGTTAACGCGTGCCCTGCGGCTCGCTAAGACCGGATCCATGCTAGTTGCCATAATCCTTTGGAATACGTGTACACTACAGATCTTAGACGATTACCTTTTTCTGAGAGGTTGCGTTTTCCGAAGCGATCAGGCCCATTGAGCTACTTTTATTTTATTTACAGATACTACAATCCCCACAGGGAATTTTAGCAAAGTGAAAATACATCGTGATGGTAAAAAAAAAACTAGGCAGCGAAACAACAAAGGGTAGCAAGTATTGCTTCCAAACAAATATAATACAGATAAATACAGAGCACGCATACAGAACATCAACTACATGAAAATGTCAAAAAATACATATTAGAATGACATCATGTTGCAGATTAGAAAGTAATTAACATATATTAGCAATAAGTGAAGACAGTGAAGGTTGAGCAACTTGAGTGTTAGTCAGGTTATTCCATTCAGTCACATTCCTTGGGGAAAAAAGAAAATCTGGAACAATTATTTTTTATGCGGAATTGGGTCTTTTATGCAAAAGGTGATGTCTTTGTGTTGTCGCATACCCAGGAGAAAAAGTAATAGTGTCAGAAATATTAATATTATATAGTTTATTTATAAGCTGAAATAAGAATTTCAATCTGGAAACACGACTGCGTTCTGTAAGTGCGGCCAAATCGGTTTGTTTTAGGAGTTCTGTTGCAGAGGTGTGGGATTAGTTATTGTAGATGAAACGGACTGCCTTCCGCTGCACCCATTCAAGTGTTTTTATGTTAGTTTGAGTAAAGGGGTCCCAAATAATTACGACATAATCAAGTACTGGAATTACAACTGTTTTGTATGCTAACAAGCGAAAGGAAGGCGTTGACAGTTTGAGGGCCCCCCTAAGAAAAAAACAATCTATGGTAGGCATTAGCGATCACTTTTTCAACACTCCATTTTAGAGTGTTTGTTATGTAGAAGCCAAGGTACTCATATTCTGTTACCTCAGAGAGTAAAATATTGCTAGCTGAGCAATTGAAACTTAGCTTGTCTTTTTTGTTAGTAATGAACATAAAAACAGCTTTCTCGAAATTAACCGACATTTAACAATCTTTACATCAGGCGACAACTTGCTGAAATGCATCATTTATTAACATTTGATCAAAATGACTATGAATTCTGGAGTATAGAACACAGTCATTGGCATATAATTTAATCTTATCAGGTAGGCCATTTGCCATATCATTTACATACAGCAAAAGAAAAGAGGGCCTAGAAGCGAACATTGGGAAACACCACAGTCAACGGAAAGTTTATCAGAGTCGTGATTTTTAAAGGTAACAAATTGACGACGCCCATTAAGGTAGTCGGAAATCCAATTAATGAGATGCAGATAATTAGGAATTATGTTTAATTTATGCAGCAGTTTCTGATGAGACACTTTGTCAAAAGCTTTCGAAAAATTCACGAGCATGGCATCTGTTTGTTTCTCGTTGTTTATAGTGTTTGCGAAGTCGTGTACAGTTTGTACCAATTGGATTCGATTAGATTAGATTTGTGGGGTTTAACGTTCCAAAACCAGCATATGATTATGAGAGACGCCGTAGTGGAGGGCTTCGTAAATTTTGACCCCCTGGGGTTCTTTAACGTGCACCCAAATCTGAGTACACGGGCCTACAACATTTCCGCCTCCAGCGGAAATGCAGCCGCCGCAGCCGGCATTTGAACCCGCGACCTGCGGGTCAGCAGCCGAGTACCTTAGCCACTAGACCACCGCGGCGGGGCAGTTTGTACCAATTGGGTTATGGTCGAATAGCCTTAAGAGAATCCATGCTGATGGATTGTTAGAAATTTATGTTTATCGAGGAATCCCAAAATGTGCTTGTGAATGATGTGTTCCAGAATTTTTCATGTAGTTGAAGTTAATGAAATAGGACAATAATTTTTCAATGTGCAGCTTATTTCCAGTTTTGTGGAGTGGCTTGCCTCTGGTGGTTTTCCAGTCGCCCGGCACTTGACAAAATTCCAAGGATCTCATAAACAATACCTTTAAATATCTGGGTACCCATTCTACATAAGGTTTAAGAAAATAATTTGGAATGTCATTTGGGCCAGAAGATTTTCTTATATACAGATGGAGTAACATATTAAAAACACCCGATTCAGTGATCTCAATGTCAGGTATAGGAGGCAGGGTGACATCGTAAAATGGTAAAACGCCATCATCTCTAGTAAAGACAGCTTTGAAATGTACATTAAACAGGTTTGCGATTTCTTTGGTTTCATGAATCAATGAACCATTTCCATCAAACACATCACACTATAGACTTGGGGCTAATACTTCTCCAAAATTTCTCTGGGGTTGACTCGATGTAACTTGGTAATAAGTCACCATAATAGCGCTGTGTCACTACTGACGTGATTTTTAAGTTTTACCATTAGTTCATGGACTTTGTTGTGATCACAAGCGAAATCACTATTTTTTTTCTTCATTCGTTCTAACAGTCTGATAAATTGAAGTGTATTACGAGAAATACAGGGATATTTATGTTTCCTCCTTTTAGTTACTCGTGGCACAAACGAAATAATACAAGTGTTATGATGTTTCCAAACCGGATCCAAACTTTATTTACACCGCACTTGCTGTTTTCCAATCATTAAAATGAAACGCGAGGGTATCAAAGATTGAAACGTTGTCTGCCCGAGAGAAATCAGGGAAAGATAAACGTTGCAATTTGTTGTCTAATACAGTGTAACATAGGCTTAGGACCACGGCTTCGTGGTCTGATATTCTCAAAACTACCTCACAGGTTGCTCGAGTGTCAATTGATCCGCTGACAAAATGTAAGTCCAACATGAATTTGGAAGACCCCTGAATTCTGGTAATCCTGTACAACTTGAATAT